GGCACAGGACAGAGCAGAGTTTAGGGCTGTTGTACATAGGGTCGCTATGAGTCACAAGTAACTCAACGGCACATAACAACAACAACATAATTCAATCTATGATACAACCACTTTTGTAAGCACATATCAAAGTAGTACACATTTTTGGTTAATTGATTCAAAGAAGGAAGAAGTTCTTTAAATCAGTCTTGTTTCTTGGAGCATTCTTTTTTCCAACATCATGCATTTTTTTAAAAGATTTTATTTAACTTTTATTATTCTGTGTGCATGTGTACCGTCAAATCAGATCTGACTGGTACAGGCGGAGATTGTTCCTCCTCCTCTAGCAGAGCACCTGGTGGATTTGAACCGTGCACCTCTGGGAATATGCATTTTTCATCCATTTTCTGTACTGAATTTTTACCACAGTTAGTCAAGATTAAATTAATTTACACCAACTGTTCCTCTTCTCACTTAGTCACAGTATGGTATCCGAGGAGAGGAAAGAAAAAATGCTTTTCCATTTACTCCTGCTCTTTTAAAAGTAAAGCATCCCCTCTTTGGAATGAAATTCTGCTCTTCATAGTATGCTTTGCAGATTTTCTCATTGTCTTTGTCTTTCAGCAGTTTTATTATGTTGAACATTAAGTGTTGTGTTCTTTTTATCAATTTTACTTGGCGCTTCCTGAACTGAGTTTCTTGAATCTAGGGTCTGAACAATGGCCTTCATGGAGAATTATTTTGCTATCTATTACCTCTTCAAATATTGTTGGAAAATATCCATTCCTTCTGTCCAAAGTTTCATTTTTGAGTTTGGAAATGTGTGCTCCTGACTGAAAGCTTCTTTGTCTGTCTTCCTGTCACCACTTGTCCTGTTATCACTTTCAGAATCCCAGGTTTCTTCAGGATATGTACCTTTTTCCCCAAAGGCATAGGCTTGTGTATCTACAAAATAACAACTTCTTTCATCTTGCCCATTCTTCTATAGATTTTTCAGCAGTTTTGTTTAAATCTCTTGTTCCCTTAAAATCGCTCCTCTAGCTGCTTGTTGGTTGTGTTTGATACTTTTTGTGTTAGTGTAATTTGAATGAAGTTTTATGAAAGAAAATAAGAAATGTGACTCCCTGAAATTTAAGTAATTATTTTTTCCAGTAGAATGTCTAAAATCACAAGATTATAAATGTAATATCTTTCCAAAATATGTGTTGAATTCCTAGCATTTGTTGTATGGATGCTTCTCTTTAGAAATAATGTTTTTGTTAAACAACTCGCTGGAGAAGCTCAATATGAGCCGTGAAACCAGGCCGGATTCTGATTGTGGACAGACCACCATCTACTTATGTGGAAGTTCAAGCTGAAGTTGATGAAAATTAAATCAAGTCCATGGGAACGAAAATTTGATCTTAAGTCTGTCCCACTGGAATTTCAGAACCATCTGAGGAACATGTTTGAGGCCTTGAGCTCCAATGAGCGTAGACCAAATGAGCTCTGGGTGGATATCATGAAAATCGTCCATGAAGAATGCAAAAAATCGTTACAAAGGTCGAAAAAGAAGAAAAGATCAAGCTGGATGTCAGATGAGACTCTGAGTATTGCATTGGAGCCCTGAGAAGCCAAAACTAAAGGAAGAATTCAAGAAATCAAAGGGCTGAACAGAAAACGTCAAAAGGCAGTTCAGGACTCCAAAGCAAGATACTATATTGAAATGTGCAGAAAGCTGAAATTTGAGAACAAAAAGGGGGAAAGTCATTCTGCATTTCTAAAGCTGAGAGAACAGAAAAACAAACTTAAACTTTAAATTACAATATGGAAAGATCATATGGACCGCCAAGAGAGGGTCAAATGAAGTTTCTCCTTGGAGACTGGGAATTTGAAGCTCCTTCTCACATGCAAAGTGCATGTGGCCAGAAGAGAGAGATCCTTGGAGAAGAACATCAGGTTCAGAAAGGTGGAGGGCCAGTGCAGGAGAGGAAGACCCCAGATGAGATGAATTGATATAGTAACTGGGGCAATGAGGCTATGTGTGTTAGAATGAGTGAGAATGGCTCAGGACAGGGCAGGCTTCAAGCTGCTGTATGTAGAGTTACTATGAGTCACAGACAACTCGATGGCATGTAACAGAAACAACAATATAGACAATATATTGAATGACCCAGAAAACACCAGCAGAAGATAAAGGGAATATGCAAAATCACTGTACCAAAAAGAACAAATTGACACTGAAAAGTTTCAGGAAATACCACATAAGCGGAAGCCTGTGGTAATGAAGGAGAAAGTAGACGCTGAATTAAAGGCATGGGCAAAAAAAAATAAAGCTTCAGTAATCAATGAGATACTAATAGACTTGTTTAAATTAACAGGTACAGCCTTGGATGAACTCAGCAGGCTATACTAGGAAATTTGGAGGACAACTGTCTAACCAACAAATTGGAAGAGGTTCATATTTGTTCCCATTCCCAAGAAAGTTGATATAACAGAATATTAATATTATTAAACAATATTATTAATGTCACATGTGAGCAAAATACTGCCAAAGATCATTCCCAAATGGCTAGAGCAGTATATACATATAGAACTGACAGAAATTCAAGCAGGATTTATAAAAAATCGTGTCACCAATGATATCATTGCTGATGTCAGATGGATTCTGGCTGAAAGTAGAAAATACTGGGAAAATGTCTATTTGTGTTGTATTGACTATGCAAAAGTATTTGATTCTGTGGATAATAACAAATTATGGCTGACATTGAGAGCAATAGGAACTCCAGAGCACTTAATTTTGCTCATATGAATACGATACCTGGACCAGGATGTTGTTTGTGCGAAGAGCAGACATGTGTCAGGGCTGTTGTCTCTCTCCATACATATTTTTATAAAATAATATTTTCATTGTGATTTTAACAAACATTCACAGAGAAGCTAGATTTTCATTTAGTCATTGTTGCATAGTTTACCACCTTGCCCTCCCTTCCCCATCCCCTAGTTCATTTTTTAAAAATATTCATTCATTGTTGCACAATTATCTACCTCCTTTCCACCCCCAGATCTCTTTGAAATGGTATATTCCTTAATCTGGGCTTTTGTTGTATGTATAATGTCTAATCATACATTTATTTTAGAAAATTCTTTCTTCCATCTGTTCCAATGCAATGGTCATTCTACTTTTATCCTAGTTTCTTCCCAACCCCAAATGTCAGACTTGATTTATAGCAAGGTGCTATGCGATATTTGTCCCTTTGTGATTGAGATTTTTCACTCAGCATAATGTGTTCCAGGGTCCCCCATGTTATGTAATGTACCATAGTTTTCCTATCCACTCATTTGTTGATGGGCACTTGGGTTGCTTCCATCTCTTTGCTATTGCAAATAACACAGCAATAAACATGGGTGGGTATACATCTTTTTGGATGGTGGTTATGGTTTCTTTATATATGTGTGTTATTCTGATTAATTTACAAAGTGTGGATACATTGTTTTTTATAAAATATTGTTCCCATTTTTCTACACCATCCACCATCTAATTGTGCAACCCTATGATTAACACCCTACCTCTCCCCAGCCTCACCCCCACATTTTCACCCTCCACCCACACACTCCTTGGATCCTCATATTCATTCTACAATACGGCTTAATACAGCATTTGTCCTTGAAGGACTGAGTTTTTTCACTGAGCATAATGTTCTCCAGTCCCTCCCAAGTTAGGTAGTAATTTACAAAATGATTGCTCCTGCGTGCTAGAAATGAAATCCTACCTCCATACCTATTTAATCTGTATGCTGATCAAGTTCTTTGAGAAGCTGGACACTATGAAGAGGAGTGTGGCATTA